CCCCCCCCCCAGCTCCTGAAGTGACACCCAGAAGGAGTAAATGACGGGAACGAGACAAGGTGTTTGCCTCCGTGGACAAAGCGCACGTTGAGAAGTGTGTGAGCCCCAGGTCATTTTAGGTCCACTATAAATGTCATGGAGGCCCAGGTGGCCTAGTGGGCTATGCGTTGGGCTGCTAACCACAAGGTCAGCAGTTCAAATCCACCAGCTGCGAGACAGGAGCGAGACAGGGCTTCTTACTCCCATAAAGGGTTACAGTCTTAGGAACCCACAGGGGCGGTCCTACTCTGTCCTGCAGGGTCGCTGACTCCTCGGCAGTGAGTTATGAATAGCCTCAGTCCGAAAGCATGACCCAGTTATTTAGGGAGCCTCAAAGGACGCCATGTGTCACAAAAGAAACGAACGGAGACAGGGCTGAGCAGAAAGGCCGAAGGAACACAATTAAACATAAGTGGTACTCTTCAACATTAGGTAAAAGATAGGCTGATAGAACCCCAGGTCTTCTCCCTCGGGGTCTTAGGCAGGTTTGAACTGCTGACCTTTCCATTCACGGCCCAGTGCTTAACTGTTTGTGGCCACCAGGGCTCCTTACTAGATGGTACTAACACCATAAAATGACTGTGATGACTACCACCAGCCCCCACGGGCGTGAAAGCCAGAGAGGCATGTGACGGGACACAGGGATGGACTAAGCTCTGAGCCGTGCTAAGATGGGGTCAGAAGTCGGAGAGGTCACAGGAACAAGATGAGTGTGGCCTCCAAGGCCAGCCACCATAGTATCAGTTCCTCTGGGAAGGGAGTGGACTCAGCCCCGCTGATAACGAATAGATTTCAAGGACAAGCACTGCAGGTGCTCAGATGACCTCTCTGCCTTGTGGTCCCACAGCCCTGAGTGAGGAAGTCGGCCATTTTGAAAAACGGAAGGTGTTCATCTTACTGTCCACAGTGATGACCTGGGCACGGTCCAAGCCCCTGGACCCCGTAAGTAGTGCTCCCTCCGTGTCCTGACATCGTGTGCAGGAGGGGGTTTCTCTTCTCTCTTTCTTTTTCTGTTAGAACGTTCCTTTATTAAGTCTTAAATAAGACAAAGGCAAGACAGCTACCGAGGCATATCACCCAGATGAGGGAGATTACTAGCCGAAGGTCATACTATGGGGTTCCAGGGTTGGCTGGGATATAGAATTTTAAAAAGAACACAAGAGGTCAAAGAAAAGTGTCATAAAAACGTGGTTGGCAGCAAATCAAAACATCATAGTTACTGGCAGGACTCCTGATTGGGAACCTGCAGGGACACATACTTCATGTTAGACAGAGCAGCTTATGAGACTGTCCCAGGTTTCCCTGAGGCAATCAGGGGAGACTTCCGACTATACAACCCCCAGTGATCTCCATCCAGGGCACACCCAGGTGAGCTCCAAACGAGATTACTCTTCCCTGGGCTGGTCAGGTGGGTGGAGGTAACCCTCTTTCCAATACACCCTAAAGGCAAGACTATTGATATCCCGATCAATGACCTGAGGGAATTCAATGGAGCCTTAACCCATGAGGGGGACCCTGCAAATGGGTTTTGGGCTTTCATTATCATCTACAGCTATCTGTAAATCAGGTGCTCAGATTTAAGCTCTGATACAAATCCTTCTCTGATCGTGGATTTTATTATTACTGATCCTTGGATCACACAGGCTGGTGTACTTCTTCCATGAGGACTTAGCTAGCACCTCACTTAGATGGCTACTTGTTTTACGACCCCAGACTCTATTCTTTCTAATAGCCAGTCACCATCTGACTTCTTCTTCACCACACTTTGTCATAGAATCTGTATCACCAGTGATCACGTATGAGGGCAAGTATCGAGCAGGGTCACAACATAAGAATGAATTGTTCTTAAATTAGGGCTTATAATGAAGTGAGAGCTCAAAATCCATCCCTATAGCTCAGGTTTATCAATATCCTGGTCCATGTCAGAGGCAGCATTATCAGCTTCTTGAGAAAATATATCAATAACCTCCCTGGGACATTTGGTAAATCTAATACCAATATCATTAATCTAGCCAGTGATATATAGAGTTTAAAATATTATTGAGAAAAGGAAAATGTACATATGTAGGAACACTTTTTAGATTAAAGTACATGGAATGTTCATGTATCCTGATTAAAAACGTAGGTGTCTACACCCTGCGTTAGAAAGCAACGAGGAGGGAGATTTCTAGAGTGCGCTGTTTACATAGACGATAGCATAGGGACTTTGGGTTCACTGACCGCAGACTCACAGTGACCTATAGAGCAAGGTAGAACTTCCCGGGTGGTTCCAAGTTGCTGATCTTGTGAGCCTGGTGGTGTTGTGTTTACTTGTTGGGCTGCAAGCCGAAAGTCAGTATTTCAAAATCACCGGCGGCTGTGTGGGAGAGCGATGAGGCTTTCTACCCGCTTGAAGAGGTTCAGTCTGGAAACCACAGGGACTGTTCTTCCCTGACCTAGAGTGTTGCTGTGAGTCAGAATTGACTCGGTGGTAGTGTGCTTTCTTTACTTAGACTTTTAATTTATTTTCTTTTAGACTTTAATTTAAAGAGTGCTCTCTGAGAATTGTCTACTCCTATATTTTTATTGTACACATTTTTGTGCATTCGTGACAAGGAGGAGATAAGCAACATCCGTCCAGCACAGGACGGACCACTGTCTCCAGTGGCCGCATCTAACAGCCCGCAGGAGTCTGCCAGGTGACCCACACTCGTAGTGAAACAAGTTACAAAGCGTCTGACAGCTTGTGCCAAACGACAGTCTCCCTACGTCCTAAGGACAGGGGGTGGTGTCACCTTTTATGACATACCTTGTTCATTACTAAGCCTGCCACCTCCACAGTGCCCACAGCTCAGACAGACATCAACCCACGGCCAAGAAAGGTGGCTGCGGGAGCTGGTGCCACGAGGTCCTCTGGACGGATTCCAACTTGGAGGCCCTCGACAGGGCATAGCAGAAGGCCCCCCAGGGCTTCAGGCTGCCACCTGCACAGCAGCAGACCCCCCACCTTTCTCTGAGGAGCTCTGGGGGCCTTTTGAGTAGCAGATGTATTTACCCCACCGCTTCTGCGCCAGCCCGTCCTGCTGTGGTGGCGGCCTCGGAAGAAGCACAGGCAGGGTGCCCCTTCGAAGCAAGCTTGGCTGGACTTCGTCTCGTGTACTGCGGACGTGCTACTGGAAGAGACCACTGCTGGAGAAGGACATCAGGTCTGTGGGGCGGGGGCGGTGAGAAAGAGGAGGACCCTCGACGAGAAGGACTGACAACGTGCTGCGGCGATGGGCTCCAGCTAAGAACAGTTGTGAGGACGGAGCAGGACTGGGCGGTGACTTCTTCTGCTACACAGGGTCGCTGTGAGTCACAACAGGCTCGGTGGACCTAACAACAATCTATTGACTATGTGTAGGTACAGATACCTACACACACACACACACACACACACACACACACGCACGCACACACACACACCACACACATCAATACAGAGAACAAACAAAAGAACCCCCAAAACAAAACCACAGCCCTGTGCTCAGCCAACCAGATCACCTAGTGGGGTGGTGCCCATGTCTGCTGTTGCCACGGGGACGGGGGGTGGAGCAGAGCCTGGGGGAGGAGTGGGCTGACACACACTGGGCAGCTAGCCAGGGAGGCTGGGGCCTCACAACTGAGTCCCAGAGGGGCATCTGCTGCTGAGTTCAGGGTGACCGTGGCAGGAGGCCAGCAGGAGGAGGACGCAAGCGCGCTGGCCACCGAGCTATGCAGCCAGGCCTCAGCAATGCCAAGCGCTGAATTCATCCGAAGGCACAGCCAAGGACCCTGTGTCCAGACCCCAAATGACCACACAGCAGCTCCAGGTCCACCTCCGCTTCAGGCAACACACAATTGTTCAGCTGAAGTGTGTCCTAGGCAATAGGGGAAGCACAGTTAAGCCTAAAGAGTTAGTCATTCGTTCATCTGACATTCAAAGGGAGCTGGGTGTCCTACTGTAGCTGGCAACCCGCCTCATGGACCACTGGACCGATGGATGACGGCAGCTCAAGCTGAGCCTTGTATCATCTGGGTGCACGGGATGTGAGGTGGGTTAACTGCTTCTTCCTCTCGGCCCCACGGCATATGGACCCTTCAGTTTCTCAAACCGCTCTCCATTCTACCCATCTGGAAATTCAACTCAACCTCCAAGATGTATTCTGAGTCGGTCTATGTAGGAATCACTGTCTATGGCAATGCTGTAGTCCAAGCCTCAGCTGCTACTCCCTGGAATGACTCAGTGGGAAACAGCGCGACCGAGGAACGGCGGGTGATGGGATCTTGTCACACTGCAATGGAAACCCTGCTCCAGGATCCAGTGCTCATTGAGGGGATGGACCAACATGGGGACAAATATGGGCAACGCCTGAACAGCAAAACCAACATAAAATCACATCTGGGGCGCATGCACAGCACTGAAATGGCTGGTGTGTTCTTACACGGGCCTGGACCACACACACACAGCCCTCCACAGCCTTCTCTTGCTCTTAGAATGGATCTGAGCTCCTCGGCCTTTCACTGCCCTTAGTGTTGATCTGAACTCCCCCACACCGCCCACAGCCCTGCTGATCTGGCTCTGGCGTGGTTCCCTCCAGCCACGGAAGTCCTCGACGCCACCTCTCAAACGTGCCACCAAGGACACTCCCTCTGGACCACCAGGCTTGTGCTGCTTTGCCTCTGGGATTCACCCTGCGCACATGCTCGTAAAAGTCCGTGGTGGGTGCCCAGAAAGGCCTCAAACTTACCTGTGGGAGAGGTATTTCCTTTACATCCATGTGATACGATTGGTTGAAAGGCTCACGATTAAATCACAATCTTAAAACTCTTCCTCCACCAAGGGTCTCTGAGTAGGGATGGGTTTTTGTAAACTTGCTGTCTCCTGGACCTCAAGACTGGATTCTCCAGTGAGTTTTCACTCACCTGTTTCTGCCAAGTGCCTCCACAAGGACTGCGCGGGGGCGTGAGGTGTATCCTGGGGTACTTGTCACCCCTGCCAGCCGGGGTAAGGTGGCGTTTCATCTCATCTCATGAAACCCTTCTCCCTGAAGCCAGAGACAGAAGCCCATGGTGGAGGGCAGCTCTCGTGATTGACTGGTGGTCATGGAGGGGTGGGGAGCCCTCCTGGTGACGCTGTGGTGAAGCACACAGGCCATGGTGGGAACCCAGCGTGGGAATGAGGATGAAGAGGTCTGTTTCCACCAGGATGGCAGCCTTGGAAACCCTAGGGGCAGTTTCCCTTTGTTCTTGCAGGGTGGCTATGAGTCAGAATCAGCTCCGTGGCTGCGAGTTTTGACTAGAAGGGCAGGGTGGAACAGAGGCGGGAACCACCATCTAAACTGAAAAATTGAAACCACACCGATCACAAGAACGATTAAGATAAGGGAAGGAAAAAGAAACAAACAGAAAACCAAGATGGGTATGGTACTTACCATAATGTGGTGTCTGTTTGGGACTTGAGAGGATTCAGAGTGAAGGGGTGGAGTCTAGTCTGTCAATCAGGCCATAGCAAATGAGGCCTCGTGTGGGCACGGCCTTCCCCTGAGAACTCTGTGAACTCCGGTATTTTCCTCCTTGGAGGCGGGAGAAACCTCTCTCTCTGGGCTCACTCCTTTGGAGACGCTCTACTGACTGGACATGTGGCACTGTGCTGATAGACCCCGTCCCTGGGAGCTGGAGAAGCCACATGGACCTACCCTGATGCAACAAGACCTCTGGAGCCAGAGGAGCCACATGGAGACCCCTGCCAGCACTGAGATGCTTACAGTGCCACTGGATCCAGAAGACTTCCCACCCACTGGCCTGTGATCCTCCTCCATTCAGCATCATTGCATGTGTTTCATGAGTCTGAAGAGGACTTTGCAGATTGGTATCAGACATATAGGCTAATATCGGACTTCTGGACTTGATCTAGACTGGGCTGGGATGTTTTCTCAATATTCAATTGCTCTTGTATATAAACCTCTTCTTCTTACTTTAAAAAAAAATCA